GCCCTTCCATGCCCCAACATAGGGTATACATGGGTTGCTTGAAGGCCACATGTGACTTTGGGTTGATGGCAGCCCTCTGAGGTGTCTTGATATTACCTACCTAGCCTCGAGCCCCTTCTCTGCCTTAGAGAGGGGCATAGGGCATGAACCTGCAGGCCATCTGGGTAGGGTTCAGAAAGAGGATGTCCAGGCCACCCACAAAGCCTAGGCCTGTGTGCAGGACCCGGGACACCTGGAGGCCTTAAGCTGTAGGGGCTGTGATAAGATCCAAACTCCTGGCTCTGTTGCCTGTAGCTCAGCAGCTAGGGCTGCCAGCCTCATACACCAGAGTTGGTGGGTTGGAATCCAGCCCCTGCCTGCCAAACAACAACTACAACCAAAAAATAGCTGGGCATTGTGGTGGGCACCTGTATCCCAGCTACTTGGGAGGCTGAGGCAAGAGACTTGTTTAAGCCAGTGGTTCTCAACCTTCCTAATGCCGCAGCTCTTTAATACAGTTCCTGTGGGTTGTGACCCACAGGTTGAGAACCGCTGGCTTAAGCCCAAGCATTTGAGGTTGTTGTGAGCTATGACAACAGGGCACTCCATCTGAGACTCCATCTCAAATAAAAAACCTAGACCTCTGGGAGCTCCTCCCAGCCCCCACCTTTTGCCCCTGCCCAGTACTGTTTCTCACACCCTTGCTTTTCCCAGTATGACCTGCAGACCATTCCAGAAGCCTCTGCCAATCTACCTTGTCCCACTCCAACTCTGCTCAAAACTCAGCAGCAGCATCTGTTGAGCGAAGGTCACCTTTCTTCCACCCCTCTTCAAACTTGTCTCCTTTTCAATTAACTCATTAAACATTTCTCTGTTCAAGACACCCACTACATCAGCCTGGAAATGCAGAGAGCTACCATGCACAGGGATAAATCACAGAAAGTTGAGTGTTGCATTTATGGCCGTGTGTTCATATCTGTGTGTGTGCATGCATGCTTATATGGCACGTGCAAGTGTTTATGTGTGTATGCATATGCCTGGGCATGAATGACCATGGAGGTGTGGAGATGGATAGGGACACTGGGCTGAGCTTCTGGCCCTCTGGCCCAGAACTGACCCTCTGTGTGCCCTTGCAGGTACTTTAACTGTAGCTCTCCTGGGGTACAGGCCTGCAGCCTTCCTGCCTCCTGCTGCATTGACCCGCGGGAGGATGGAGCCTCCGTCAACGACCAGTGCGGCTTCGGGGCCATGAGCCTGGGTGCGGACGCCGCTGGGAGAGTGGTGTACCTGGAGGGCTGTGGCCCCCCGCTGCGGCGCTGGCTGCGTGGTCAAGTCCCTGCCATGGGCACTTTCGCGATAGTGACTGCAGGCATCCAGGGGGCGGAGCTCCTGCTGGCCACCCAGCTGATTCGGGCCCTCACTGTCCTAAAGGGGGCAACCAAGGACCCGAGAACCGACAAGGAGCGTGGAGCTGACCCCGGAGGCTCCTGACTCCCAGCTAAGCCGGCCGCGCCCGCGCTGCTCTTCCGCGAATCTGGCAAGCGGGATACCGGCCGTGGCGCTGGGGATGCAGCTCTCTCCTCGCCCAGGGACAGCCTCTGAGGGACCCACTGTGGTTGCTTGTGGACGCACGCCCCAGACACCGGACCTCTACCACCTGTAGTGCCAACGGCACCCAGGGTCCGCTTCCCAGTCGTGCCATTTCCCCAAGGCCCGACTAGCTTGATCTCGGCGCCGCCGCCTGGTTTCGCTTCGGCTTCTGCACCCACCTAGCCCGCCCCTGACGCTCGCTCGATCTGAGTGTCTGGCCGCGCCTGCCCACTACAGGGAGGGCCAGGCAAAGCAGCTAGGACGGCTAGAAGAGCACGCTGGGACGCCTGCAGCGGATCCTGGTGCCTAAACCACCCTGCGGCCCTCCTTCGGCAGCCCCGACCCCGAAACCCACCCCTTCGTCCGAGCCTCACCCTCTCCTCTGAGCCTCCCTCACTTTTCTGGTCCTGGGCGATCCGGACCCGACCTAAACCCTTCCCTCCAGAGAGCGTGCTGGGGGAAAGTAGGCGTTGTACTCAGGTGCATCCTTTGCGCATAAAGCTCACGACCTTCAGGGGGCAGCGTGAGTTCTTCCCTCCCTAATTCCCCACCTGGGCCCTGGGAACCACCGCAGGTCCCGTGGGGGTTTCGCCCTGCCCAGGCTCGTTCCACACCCGCCGGGACCACGTGCACGGGCGCCCATTGCGAAGGCCTTGATGCTGGGACGGTTTCCGCAGGTGTGTGCAGGTGTGCATGCGCTTCCTCTGGGTATGGGGTCGCCAGTGGAATCCCCGGGGTTCCCGTCTTTATTGTGCCCTGGGAGAATTGCCCAGTCCTGCGCCTCAGTTACCTTCCCTGTGAAGCGGGAATAAGGAGGTTTGCTCTGGGCTCGGCGCCTATAGCTCAACCGGCTAAGGCGCCAGCCACGTACACCTAAGGTGGCGGGTTCGAATCCCCAGCCGGGACCCGCCAAACAACAAAATAGCCGGGCGTTGTGGCGGGCGCCTGTGGTCCCAGCTGCTTGGGAGGCGGAGGCAGGAGACTCGCTTGAGCCCAGGAGTTGGAGGTTGCTGTGAACTGTAATGCCACCGCACTCTGCCCAGGGGGACAGCTTGAGGCTCTGTCTCAAAAAAAAAAAAAAAGGAGGTTTGCTCTGGCCACGTGCCCATCTTGCTAACTCCAGGCCCTAGTGTGGCCTGTGCGGGGCCACGCAGCAGCAGCCCTGCGAGAGTGTGACCCAGGGTGGACAGACTTACCTCTCAGCCCGCAGGTCCTCCAGCCCCGCCCACCGCCGTGCACCCCACCCAGCGCTCAGCCTATTGCTGCTGAAGGACCTCACCCGCGGGTCCTGGTCCCGAACACAAACACATCCCGTACAGGCGAGGACACACTAATTTTATTTTTATTTTGAAACAGGGACAGAAAGGGTGGGCCGAGTTGAAAGATGAGCTCCTCGCTACTGCCTTGGGTATGGAGGGGGCCTCATCCTCTTGCCACCTGCCCCCAGGATCCTAGCACCCATGACCTATGCCCCAGTGCAGGGAGGGGAGCTTCTCCTCACCCCCAGACAGGCAGGACAGGTGACTGGATGTCCAGCCATGAGGAACAGACAGTCTGGGGTCCAGCAGGCTCATAGGCTGGAGTCCACCTCCCCCTTTCCCTGGGAAGGGGACTTCCAGACCCTCCCTGAGGATAGACCTCTGAGTGGGCCAGTGTCTTTGGAAGTTAAGCAGGGCATTGCCAGCCTCTAGGGGGCATCCTGGGAGGAAGTGGGGAGCTTCTGGTAGCTGGCACGAAGCCCCACCCTGGTGTCCAGGTGCAATCTAGGCTGTGGGGGATGGGTCTTCTCAGCAGGAATTCTGAGCCCGGTTCAGAGTACAGTGTGTGTGGGGGTAGGGTGGGGGGAGAATGTGTTCCAGGACCCTGGGCAGGGGTCTTGCTCTAGATGATACCATATTGGGCCAGCTCATGCAGCTCCAGGTGGTTGAAGGCCTCCCAGGGGCAGATGACCGTGATGTCTGCAGGAAAAGTGGGCTTGAGTTAAGGAGAGCCTATGCCCCTGTGCCCCTGTCTCCCACACCCACTCTCCCTCTGAGAGTGCAGACCCTGAGTGGAGCATCCCCCACATACACACACCAGCTGTGAGGGTAGAGTAGGGTACAACAGGCCCAAGAGAGAAGACCAGAGAGGGTAGGCCTTGTTGAAGGGGGAGAGGCAGCAAGGGGTTCTGTTCTTTTCCAGACCCCTCCTCCTCACCTGATGAACCCCACCAACCCATGTGGGTAGGATCTGAAGCTCCATGGTGGGGGAAGAAGTGAAGGGCATGCCAAGGGGTACCCTCACTACAGAGCAGGTGCAGCTGGTGCTGATGGGACTGCAGGGGGCCCTGGGTGCCTCTGAGGAGGACCTAGGCAGGGGTCCCAGGTGTCTCTGAGGGGGACCTAGGAGCCTCCTATTAGTGGCAGTCATACCTGTTCCCAGGCCTTCCATTCCAGGGATGTCGTCTCCAAACCTGCAAGATGAGAGTGGTGGTCAGGGACAGTGGCCAAGGCCCAGCCCTCCTAGAAGACCACTCTCCTCCCTACCTCCTGCCTCTTGGCTGGGCCTGACATGGGGATTTCCTTCCACAGACCCAGGGTGAGTCTGCTTCCTAGAAAATCATGGGTGTGGGGTCAAGGCCTGGAAGGGTAGCCTAGCCTAGGTGTACACGGGCAGGTAGGTGCCTAGGGAGGAAGGAGTACAGTGTGGTTTTCTGAGAGGGTGGCGTGTCTGTAAGTGTGCCTCTGGGTGTGTGTGTGCGTGGGAGTGCTGTGTGTAAGGACATACCTCTATGCAGTATCTGTGGTTGGTAGCAACTGCAGCCTCTAGCCTCCAGCTCTGCTTTCTCCTCCTCCAGGTAGGATGGGACCACCCTCAGCCAGAAAAGTGGCCTCAGCCCCTCCCAGCCCCTCTTCTTGTGCAGCCTGGGAGAAGGCTGCCCTGTCCCCTTCTCAGTTGTTCCCCTCCTACCAGCTCTGCTTACCCTTGGACGCCTTTCTTGGGAGGCTTGCTCTTGAACTGCCTGGTTTGTCGTTGCTTAAATTTGGGGGGCCCTTTCCTGGGGGTGACAGGTCCTCCCATCACCCTGGTGGCTGAACGGAAATCGGCCTTGGGTGGCTCCAGATTCATGGTGAGGCTGGCAGAGGTGCTGTGGTGACACTTCTGGACTCTCACTCTGTGGGCTGCAGGGATATCAGGCTGGGCTCCCAAACCCCCAGAGCTGAGGGGCTGAGACATGAGGCCCAGCTCCCCTTGGGCCCACCAGGCCCTTCCTTCCCCACACCACATGGCCCTGTCCTCCTTGTAGACACTCCCACCCCCACTAGCCACAATGAGTCATGCTTTGCTTTGCACCTCTGGCCTTCCTCACTGTTGTCCCCCACAGGCAGTCTGGACCACACTCATCCTTCCAGCCCAGAACACATCCTAGACCAGGACTCCTCATCTCCTCCCCTTCGAGGTGGCCACTGATGACCCCTGATCCCTGCACCCCTCTTGCCCTTTCTCCTATGTTGTTTCCTACCCCAAGGTAGTACAACTAGTCTGAATCCTACTGGTC